ATATATATATGATTATATGATTATAATACATAATCATATATTTTAAATACTGGCAATGAATATCGGAACGCAGTCTACATCTACATAATTAAAGTTTTATAATTAAAGTATTTTATATAGTAACTTCATATTAAAAGTATTATAGTAACTATTATAGTAACTTCATATTTAAAGTAGGTATATATGTTTGAACTTTAACGGAAATTGGAAAGAAAGTTTTAATGGAGACGAAAATAGGATTATTGTCTTCTCAAAGTCTAACGGAATCAGAAGTAGCGACCTTACATTCTTTCGAGATTGTTCTGTTGAATGTTGACATATAGACGCAATTGGATCAATGCTGTATATCATGCTGAATCATTACATTATGTAGATAGGCACACACGCGCGCGTATTAATCTACATAGAAAGTATATCATTTAACATTTAACTAATGCAAATTAATCAAGATTTATCGCTCTCTATGTTATAGACAGGACTGTGAACTAGAAAAAGGAAATGGCTAAGTCAGAAGCAGTGAGGAAGATGAATGCAATCGTTCTATAAATTTGCTTCTTCATAGTTTACTACTGTTATTTCTGCGAATCCGAAAACAATGCATCATCAGCACGCTCGTTTGTCATGCGCGAAAAACCATTCGCCATTTTCCTCTAGAACTTCTAGACGGTTCTATTCGCGACACAGATGGCGTAACCGGCTCTCTTGTCGATGCCGCTCGAATGTTTGTTGATGTTTCTTCTTTCAGAATCGATTAATTTTAATGGTCAAATTCCAACCGATTCGCATCGAGCGTTTAAATTCTGTTACAATTCTACAAAAGAAAGACAGGGAGAAGAAAGAGAAAGAAGAAGTTGTAATTATAAGCAAAAACTGACTTCAAGATCTCCTTTTCTATAGACTCTTTTACAAGCTCTGTTTTTTCTTTTTTTTTTTTTTTTTTTTTTTTAACCGTTTTTTTTTTAACCCTTTTTACACGTGGCTTTCTTAGCTAGTTAGAATAGTCGCTTAGAATTGACCTCGTAAGAAATATCGCTTGAAATTGCAGCATTCGACCGACAATGAATAATAATAATAACTTTATCGCGTATATAATTATAGATTCATGATAAAGATGATAGTTACAAAAGCATATATGAAAAGAACATACGCGCTAAAAGTGAAAAATGCTCCTATTAAAATTTACTTTTAATCAAAACAATACAATCGGATCAGAATACAAATTGGATAAAATCATCTGATCTGTAATGTATAATTTCTTAATTTTTATTTTTATTTTTAACTGGTTATATGACTATTTTAATTATTAATTATATTGCATTATTAATATTACTTTTTAAATACATTTGGACTGTTTTTAAGAAGAATACATCAAAGTATACATTTTAATATTCATTAGATATCTATTTTTTGTTTTTTATTTAATTAATAACTAGAAGTATTGATACGTCCTAATTGAGCGATTTACAAATAATTGACAATAGTTATATTTATATTTCAAATTTGAGGAATAAGCGAAAAAAATTATTTCACATCAAATACAAAAAAATATTTTATATAGTTATCTTAAGAATATCTATTAAATAGTATAAATGGATCGTTTTATATCTCGGATATATCAATAATAAGTTCTATTTTCATTTTATGAATCAATTCTTTTTGGTATATAATATCTTCTCTTTTCTATCTCTCTTTTCCCTCACTTTTCGACAGAAATCTCTGAAATGACCGCCAGTGATTACAAAACGTTTGTGTTTGATCATCGAGCAATATTTGGCGTTTTTATCTTCCCCATCCTTTATCAAGTTTCTTGCTTTTATATTAATTTTTCTACTCTTCTTTTCTAATTCCTTTCTAACATCACGACACTATAATAGTCATCTTCGAATATGATGTTAGAAAAAGAGAAATCACGCAAATGACTTTTGCTCTGTGATAAATCGTTAACGAAATCGTTTCAACTTAAACAAATTTTGCAACATGCAAAATGACAAATTAACATTTAAAAATGATACAAATGATGAAAAATTTTTTATAATTCGAAATAATAAAGTTGTCGCATTCTATTTACTTTATGAAATACTTTAGAATAGTTTTAAAGGAAAAATTATTTACACACACAAGCATTAAAAATGCATTTGTTACATTTATTGCATATATCTAACAAATGTTTATATAACTTTTTTTCTGATGGACAATTCAAAATATCACAAAAACTTACCGGTATTTTAGAACGATATACATTTAATTCTTTTTGAAAATTTTAATTTAATTATAAATATTACATTTTTTTAATTACTTTTTTGAAAATAATTTGTTTTGTTTTATACTTACAATTATCTTCATGGTTAACAACTCAATTTCCCTCTCTAGATCATGGCGCTAATTATATCAAAGATAAAGAAAGAAAGTTCATACGAGTCCCGTGAACAATTTAGGTGAACTAATTTTGGATTTGCTACCTAAAGGTAGCGATTTGCTACCTTTCTTATAATACTATCTATAATACAATACAGATAAAATAAAAATTACTATATATATAAATTAATTCTTTTATATAATAAAATTGTGTGATGTTTGCTATCCTCTATTAAATTTTTGTAAAATTTTGAATTTTATTTTTTTTTATTATTATTTAATTTGTTTAAATAATTTTTTAGATTAGATAAAAGATATTTAAAAATTTTATAAAATATACTTTAAATATTATAACTAGTTATATAAGATTTAAATAGATCAATTAAATCAATTAAATAGATCAATTAAAATTAACATTCTAAAATTATGAATTCTTTAAAGCTGTAATAATTCTTTAATTGTGATCAATGATTCATTTTTATATCATTCATTTATATACTTTTTATTTTATTTTTTCAGACAAAATGTGTGATCAAATAAGCGACGCCATTTTGGATGCACACCTGAAACAAGATCCCGACGCTAAAGTAGCATGCGGTAAGTTTCGCCAAGACGGTGCTGATTTCTTCAAGCACTTGAATATGTATTATGGCATCTATTTATAAATTAGTTTGTTCGGCCCTGAACTAGTTTTAGGCCGGAACTTTTGACTTCTGCATTTGTTGCATTCAATATATTGTTGAAATGGGCAGTTTTTGAAAATTATGATTAAAAAAAATAATTTTTCTAAATACATATTATATGTAACTGTCTTGACATTAATCTTAAATATCAATATCTGAAATCAATTATACTATTTTATTATGTACTAAATATATTGTTTAAAAAAAAATATATATATATATATATATATATACATCAAGATGTGTAAATTATTGTAATTTTCTTTTTTATTTATTATAGAAACCGTAAACAAAAACTAGGAATGATACTTCTGTGGCGGGGAAATTACGTACAAAAGCTGTAGTGGACTATACAAAAATTGTTCGAGATACAAGTAAAACACATTGGCTACGACGATTCTTCAAAAGGTACAGCAATGATTCAACGCGATATTCGCGTTATATCTGTCCTTAATTTCAGATGCACGTCACTCTTAAAATTTTTTCTGACACTTTGTTGGATGTTAATTCTATTTCTTGTTTGCGCGAGAAAGATTAAAATTTCTACTCTCACGAAAAACCAATGAATCGTCATTACTCATACAATAACACATGCATGCTCTGTGGCTGAAACACAATCAGCTCCCTCGTCCTCAAAAAATTCGCTTCATATGATTCTCTTTTGTCAAATCGAATACACGATCGAACCATGACAAATTCAAGCGTCAAACATTGTTTGCAACTTTTGTTTACAATTTGTTTTCTTTTTTTTATATTGAATATTAATATAACATTAAGTTGTTAGATAAATGTTCTATCTTGTGTATGTGCATTAAAGTGTTTGGCTTGAATTTTCTATGTCTCGATCGATCGATCGATCGAATAATCAATATCCTGCTCATTATCTTCCGGTCAAAAAAAGATCACACAAAGAAATGCGTAAAGTCTGTAACGTAAAGCGTATCGTGGCAGGATTCGATTGGCGTACGTTGAACCTTTTGGTGGCGATCGAACAACAATCCCCAAATATCGCGGATGGTGTCCATGTGGACAGACAAGAGATGGACGTGGGTGCAGGTGATCAGGTACATAACCCATTCTCAGCCCGTGCCACAGAACAGCCAAAAAAATTCAATGTCAATGATCTATCCTAAGCTTTTGTTTCTTATATTCCTCCCCTTTTTCCTATCTTCCTTGAAAGTACAGATGTTCTCGAATTTGTTTTGCTATTCTGTATGTCACAAGTGTGTGTTACACCTACGTTTGTATGCGTGCGTGTGCGCGAGGAGAATGCAAGCACCTGCACAAGAATCTAAACACCGTTGTTATATAAGATAGTATCGCCGAACGTTTCTTGAAAAAACAATGCAGGAAGAATTCCTGCGTGGCAGATTTTTTTATTTAGCAGAAATATCTTGGAATTGAATTTACAATGAAGCACTGGAATATATTTTCAACAAACTGCAACTGATATTAGTTGCAATATTTAGGAAGTAAGACTGTATGTATTATGTTCGGATATACATATAAAATCATAAAATTCTTTTCTTATATAACTTTATTCTCTAAACTATAACAAAAATATAACATGGATTATCTGATTAAAACTTTTTCTTATATTTCGTACGGTCTTCACGGTCCGAACTCGTACATGCAGAATACAAGCCATGGTGTTAATTCTAATCAAGCCAGGACTAGTGGGATCGACAGTCTGATAAAAATTCAATGATGGAATCTCATGCAAGAAGGATGTCGATACACGAAGTAGCAGTGAATATCTTTGTCTCACCACGCTAATGATTTCTACAGGTTTTGACTACAAGCTGTGCAATGTTCTGTTGGCGCTCGATGCTCAATCACCAAATATCGCGGCAGGCGTTCATGAAAACCGTAGCGACGAGGAAGTGGGAGCAGGAGATCAGGTCAATTAGCACTGCCATCGTTGAATTATTTTCTTCTCTTTGTCTCCTATTTTCTCTATTTTGACCATTTATCACCTGCTCTACTAAATACATCTTTTTATCGTAGCTGTATAAATAACATTTATCATTTGTTGTTCTTTATTTTACTTATAAATCTGCTAGCCTTTTTCTTATTTCTTCACTATAGAGGTGGAAGTGCGACATATTAAGTGTCTTTCGTATACTGCACGATAGTTTGAATGTGTTGCTACAAAGATATTATTTAATTTTTTAGCTGAATCTGGCATACTAGGTGTGTAGAGAAATCGAATGAATGTATAAAGCTATGTATATTTTGTACATGAATGTGATGTGGATTTGGAAATGTATATATTTTACTCTGCTGTAGATCAATAACTTCCCCAGTAGAATAACCACGATTTTAGTACTGAGATTTTAACCCTTAGTTGAAAATATAAGTTGTTTTTACATAATAATATCAAATGAGATTGATGGTTACTGAGTAAAATCATAACTTTCATCATGTTACATAATTATATAATTAAACTAGTTTGTAAATTAAGCTTTTTTATCGTTATTGTTAATAATATTCCTCCTACCGTATTTATAATATTATTATGTTCTGTGTGGCACCTTTTACTGCATGTTAGATTTGCTGCTTTATATTTCTTTATAATAATTATATATAATTATAATTCTTTATTTAATTTCATGATTATACGATTTACTGTCTTCACAAGAGCCTTTTTACTTTCAATTAAGCTTTCTTTTATTTTATAAAAAAATTTTATTTTTACTATTCCGACATATAATTACAAATGATTTATTCACGTATTTGAAATTATATGTATAAAGTTTGTTTGATTCTCGAAGCTTATATTTTATAAATTTGAGATGGCTTAAAATTTAGACTTAAAATTAGGAATAATTAAAATTTTTTCATCAGGGTCTAATGTTTGGATATGCGACCGATGAAACCGATGAATGTATGCCATTAACAGTTGTATTGGCGCACAAATTGAATCAGAAAATCGCCGAGCTAAGACGAAGCGGAGAATTATGGTGGGCTCGTCCAGATTCAAAAACACAGGTTTGATTTCTATATTCTATATATCTATATAGAATTAAAATTCTTGTTTAATCAGTAAAACGTGTGTTTAACAAGTTAACAAAGAAAGAATACTATTGATCTAAGAAATTTGTGTATTGAAGAATTGAAATATTTCCAATCTACTTAATTTCGATATTTTTCGTGCTCAGAGATCTATGAAAAAAGAAACAATAATAGTCATTCAATGATGTATTTTTTGTATTTGCTACTCTTGAATGCTATGATGTTAAAAATCTAACTGAGAATGACCTATGAAACTTAATCATTTTACAATATTTATGATTCAAAAAATTAACATAATTTATAAAAAAACATATGTAATTATATATCCGATAGGTAACATGCGAATATATCATGGACCATGGAGCCTGTGTACCTATAAGAGTTCATACTGTTGTGGTGTCGCTGCAACATAGCGAAAAAATCGGTCTAGATGAGCTACGTAAGGCGGTCATGGAGAAAGTCATCAAAGAAGTGATACCAGCGAGATATTTAGATGAAAGAACAGTCTTCCATGTGAATCCTTGCGGACTTTTTATTATCGGTGGACCACAGGTATTATTAAAACCTCAAATTACGTGACATAATCGATAAAGTTATTCATAAATCTTAAATAAGAAGTATATTTTATAAATTGCTTTGACGTACTGTTATTAAAATGTTCAGAGTGATGCTGGTCTTACTGGACGAAAGATCATCGTAGATACATATGGTGGTTGGGGAGCACATGGTGGTGGTGCATTTTCCGGTAAAGATTTTACAAAAGTTGATAGATCGGCCGCATATGCCGCAAGATGGGTTGCCAAATCTCTTGTAAAAGCTGGACTTTGCAGACGTTGTCTTGTACAGGTAAGATTTACAAATATCTAAGTATTCTTATCCTCATAAATGGAGCAATTCTTTTCTGTAATCATTTTTCGGTAATGCAAAATTTTATCTTTGTATATAAAAAATTTATTATTTTTTTATATTAGGTGTCTTATGCCATTGGAGTGGCGGAGCCATTATCAATCACAGTTTTCGATTATGGTACATCTACGCGCTCTCAAAACGAACTCTTAGATATAGTGAACAAAAATTTTGATTTGCGACCCGGAAAAATTGTCAAGTGCGTATATTTGTTAAATAATTTTAATATTTTATAATAATTTTGCTTTTATATTACAATAAATGAAAATTTATTGATAAGCTAAACACACAAGAAGAGGTAAATGAATTAAGGCATATAATTTTTTTTAGGGAGTTGAATCTTCGCAATCCTATTTATCAACAAACCAGTACATACGGTCACTTCGGACGAGATGGTTTCACATGGGAGCAACCAAAAAAATTGATTCTCGATTGATGAGAGGATGAATTTTAATTTGGTCTCTTGGCGTTTCTCGGTTTTAGATATCCGATAGAACATCTCTTTCTCTTTCTCTAACTCTCCTCCTCTCTATCTTTCTCTCAGAGAAGTAAGCGTGTATTACAAACATTAAAAACAAAAAAGAATATCGTTTGAGGTACTTCGATCTCCGTGCCGCAGCCACCATCGAGACCATAGATTTTTCACGCCAATACTTAGCAATAGAGAAGACTAGGTATGGGCAGTTCTCTTTCTAGTTCTGTTTTTGTGCCGTAAAATACTGCATTATAATATATATATATATATACACACACACACACACATATATATGTGACGACAGGCATAGTACAAATCTCGTTCATAACTTCTATGTATGAACACTCATTTCTTTCTTCATTCTTTTCGGTTCTTCGTGTGGTGGCATTTCTTAACAAAACGGCACAACAAATATTTAGATATAACATGCATCACGTGAGGAAAAAAAGCGAACTGAGTTGACCATGGAAACTCGTCCAAGTTTTCCATGTCCATATACCCGAAAGCTTTTGTCAACTGATAATGCAATCCTGTTTAGTAACAGCCAATCAATCATTTTGTCGCTGATGCATGTTGATGCTTTTTGCTTACATAAAAAAGTAAGGGAAAAAGAAACTTCATCAATCAGTGACAAATTTTCATCTAAAAAAAATTGTATAAACAAGCGTTATATGATATATGCGCGTATGCGTGTTTACAGATTTGGGAAATGTAATGTATTGCAATACATTTACATTGCAATGTAAATGTACTGCAATTTCATAGGTTTTTAAATGTATCAGTAGTAGTCCCTCGCCACGTACATGGAAGTTCGATACTTCAATTTAATTAGCTGAGTTTTATAATCGGAATACGGATACATACCACAGATTTACATAAGTTTGTGTTTTATTTCGCTAGTGACGCTTATCGAAATGTCAATCGATCTTTCGTGTACGTATCTCCATTAGAATTATTAATCGTTGAGGAGAGAACTGTAAATTGATGAAAATAACATGTCCTCTCTTGGCATGTACGTGTAGCAAAGAAGGAAATGACGTTTGTGCGTTACGCGCATTCGTGTCAGGTTTACGAGTTTTGCGAGTGATAGCTGCGATATAATACCGAGCCGGATGCATTATCGGATAGATAAACCATTGTTAAATATTTTAGGATATTTAAAGATCATTAGTCGAATTGTGAACAGCTTCGTTATGAAATTAGACTTCATCGTTTTATAGTACGCGAATACTACGGTGTAATATTCTTAACTATGCAAACGTGTTTGTTCGTTCCACAAAGTGTACAGTCATTTCCCCCTTTGCTATTATTTTAATTAAATAGAACAATTGCGGCAGATTAAAGAAAACGAAACCATTGAAAATTTAATCCCGGTAGAGGTCCAGCACAGATCGTGTGACGGAGCTCGAAAATGTTGTAGAATTTTTCATTGTTTTTTTCGTACCGACTGTCCGACATTGTCGGATCTAAAGAAACAAAACAGTAATGTAAAAAGATTTTAGTCGCTCTTTGCCAGAATTGATGTGTGCGATTTGTTAATTATATCGGTAATATGTAATAGTGCACAATATCGTGAAAGAAAAAAGACAAAAAATAAAGCGGATTTTTTAATAAAAACATTCCCTGTCGTTTTGTGTACTACCGCATCATTACATAAGCAAGGCATATTTAATCCTCGATCTTCCTATACGTTTTAGCGACACATAATCTGCACTTGACGGACCAATATTGCATTTCTGTGAAGGTTTCCCCGACAAACGACATGAGCTCTGTCGCACAAGACGCTGCGACTGGCTGTGTAGTTCGCGAGCGTAATAGACAATTTTTATATGCATTTGCACGATCACTCTTTAGTATTCAACGATATAACAAAATGTATAAACAATTGTAACATGTAGAGTAATCTCTATAACCAAATAGCTCTCATATTTCCACCTTGCCGTGCATTTTTGTTACATTATAGCAATACTTTTACAATGTAAAGTACTATAGATAGCGCGTATCCAGTAAAATAAATTTAAATAAAACATAGAAGATACACATCAACATAACTTTCTCTCTCTTATTTCCATATACGTAAGACTTCGCAATATCTCAACTTTTTTTTAGAGTAATTTTGTTGTTTCAAGAGGTTTTTTTCTATCACTTACATACTAATATACACGCACGCACGCACATAAAACAAAATGATTTTTTAGAAAATTGAACGGTTATATATGAACAGTTATCATACAGTTATCGATAGTCATAATAAAATAGTATTTTGTGTACATGAATGACATAAATCCATTGATATCTTTTTATTTAGAACTTTATATACATTATTAATAGTCACGTACATTGCAGGAAATACATGATATGATCTTAAAATATCAAAATTATATAAGAATATAATATTTATAGATGGAAATACAAGAATATAATCATTGCTGCCTTATGCAAAAAAACTAAATTATGCTAATGTATTTATTATTATGTCAAGCATTGTTAAACATATATTCAGCTACGTGACATTTTTAATACGTTACAAATGTTTAATTCAAATTGCACTTAATATAAAAAAGAATAGATTATAATCTTTAGACTTCATAGATTTCATAAATTTAATAAATGTTCAGAAGTTAAAACTAGTATTAGGTTTATTATAGTCACTCTTGTATAAGTCGTTATTGATGTATATGTACTTGAATTTATTGTTATATGCTGCATTTGTTTTGTCGTTGTTTATTTGAAATCAATTTGCGTTCAAAATTTCATATTAAAATTCCAAAGATGATTCATAATTTCAGTTCTTTTAAGGGTGATTCATAATTTCAGTTCTTATGTTTAAGATCATCTTAACGTTACATTCTAATCGATAAGATGGTTATATAATCTTACTTAAGATAATTTTAAATATAAAAACAAACTATGAATACTGTCCTAAATTTTTTTAAATCTTGACTTATAATTTTATATTTTAAAGTCCATTTGTATATATAATGCATGTATGTATATATAGTCGAAATGTCATGAATCATTTTTTTCTATTTTGCTTAATGAAACAGTTATTACTGAGTGAATCTGATCCAATCACCGCCGTCTTTTAGACAGGCGTGACATGTGCTCACGCATACTGCCAGGCATACTGTTACTTGACGTCTATGATGTCTAAAGGACGGCGGTGATTGAATCAGATTCACTCAGTAATAACTGTTTCATTAAGCAAAATAGAAGAAAATAATTCAGAACATTTCGACTCAGATTTTTACAAGGAATAACACTATATAATTCGTAGGCGCTTTTTATGTTACACCCTGTATATTATACACAAATTATGTAATTTTTCAAATTGTACAAATATTTGATAACATTTATATAAAAGTGACTAAACAAACATATACTTAATCTTCTTTGATGTTAAATATACAAATTACAGATAAAGTTAACTAAATTATGTCAATGAAATAATTATATAAATTTTCGAAAATCGCTGTTAAAATTTTCTCATCAATATCGACAATACAAGTTTAATTTTCTGATGTACGTTCTGTTTCAAAGGATCCTTTTGTATCCACAAGATCTCAGGAGAATCACAACAAACTGAGCAACGATAACGTTGCTCAATTTGCTATAATTTTCTTGGGCGCATGGATACGACTATGCCTCAGCAATGAACTCTTATCAGTAAAAGTTTTCTCGCACTCGACACACTTGTATGTTCTACCAGTGTGAGTAACCAAGTGCCTGCTGAGGCCGGATGCATGACAGAACGCTTTCGGACAAAGCTGGCAATGATGCAATTGGATATCATTTGGATTTAATTTCTGATGCCGACGCATGTGTACTTTGAGTGCTTCTCGCTGCGTGAAGCTCTTTTCGCAGTTCTGACATTGGAATGGTTTTTGGCCAGAATGTGTCATTAAATGTCGGAATAAAATCTCCTTCTGCGCGAAAGCACGGTGGCAAATGTTGCAACCAAACGGTTTTTCACCTGTAAATAAAAGATAGAGACGCAAATTACATATTTTTTAATGATAAATCAATTAGTTATAGTTTTTGCTATTAAAATGGATTTTGTGTCGACAAATAATGATAAATTTAATCAAAAAGAAATTGCATTTTCTTACGATTGTATTAATGCAAAATAATATCAACCTGTATGTGTACGTTCGTGTCTAACCAATGCGGATCTTGTCGGGAACCATTTTTCGCATGCTTGACACGTGTACCCTCTCTGCGTGGAATGCACCGATTGATGGCTCTTTAACATTATCCTCCGTGTAAACGCTTTCGGGCATTTGTCGCATTTAAAGACTTTCAGTTCTGGATTAGCATCAACTGCAATGCATATACAACGCATATTTTCGATTCTAGTCACGTTCTTCCTTTGTTACAGATATCATTTCTCACCTATTGTGTCACCCATAGGCTGTAACTTCAACGATTCAGCCGTAGCGGGATTATTGCTGGTGACCTCCATCATGTAAACGTTTTTGTGATCAACGTTTGTGATCGTTCTTTGCACGTCATCCGCATCTTCGTCGGATTCCTGTTCCTGCTTAATGCGCGACGTTCTTATTGTGCATCGCGCTTTTGCTGTTCGTTCTTCAGCAGGCATCAGTGTGATGTTCTGTGGGTCCTCGGAAACATTTTCCTCCATCTCTGGATTTTCGGAATTCATTCCTGTGTATTCATATAACGACGATACACGTATATCAATTAAATGTTTATAAACATTTTTCAATGTTACTCGTCAATAATAAAAAAACATACCCAGAATATAACCACCAACGAGTTCCTCTTCCGTTACTTCAATGGGATTTCCATCTGCCATTTCACCTTTGGTCGAAACTAGATCTGCTAATAGCTGCTTAACTTGCTTAGATTTTCCAGTATTGGATTCCATGGATTCATCTTTGCTATCCTGGTTCTCGCCTTCTTCATCCTGTCCAGTTAATTGCTGTATCAACTTCATATGTTTCCTGAGCTTGGCATCTGCGGCCTGACATTTCTTTCTAAACTGATAAGACTTTTCCAATTGATATTTGCAGGGATGACATATCATGTTAGGTAGGCCATCCTGTTCATAAACCTGAAAGATCAAAAATATCAGACTTTCAAGTTTATTAATTTTTTATTGTTATATTCTAAAGATAATAAATAAACGTCACATAGTTATAACAAAAGTTAAATGCTGCTTGAATTTAACTTTACTTGAATTTAATTTAATTTACTTAACCAATTCAAAAATTAAAATATTAATATATGCTGTTTAAATCTCATCTAACCAAGTAATATTTGAATTACTTACTTCCTATTTAATACATTAAATACATTTATTTATTTTGTTAACTTTGATTAAATTCGAACATAATGGATAAAGTTTAATTGACATCAATATATAAATTTTATCATTTATATACATATATTTGCATAGATGTTTTACACATTAGTACTACAGTAAATGCAATAACACAATGCAAAAAGCAAAGACTAATATAAAAGTAATAGATATAAAGTATCTAATATTAAAAAATCTGTAATGTCAAGTATTTAAAATCTATTCAGCATTTCCGTAACATAGTGTAAGAATTAGTATAAAAGCATATGAAATTAAAAAATCTATTCAAAATCATTTTAACATTTCTGCGGTATAATGTTAGTAAAATCTAACAAAAAAAATACAAAAACCTTTAATGTATTTCAAATCTATTGCGTTTTTGTAGCATAATGTGAGCAAAGATAAACATAAATCTTCAAAATTAAAAAGATAACATCAATTATTCAAAATCCATCTAGTATTTTCCTAACAATTCAATACAAATTGAAATGCGGAAGCTGGGATGTTCTCCACGATCGAGAGAAGCAGGCGCCAGCAAAAAATCATCTCACTCCTTATACTGATCGTGATCTTAACTGGATCAAAACAGACCGCTGGACGAAATAGGCGCAACAGTAATAGAATGTCGAAAATTAACTAAACAAAATCGAAATTGGACAGTGAAGGCAGAAATACGCAATGATGCGAAATAAAAACTTGTCCATCCTAGATAACGACTCGGAAACGACTTTAGCCAGAAAATCATCAAATTCCTCGGAGCTCGCCTGCGACTGTGTCGAAGGAAACATGTCACAGGGACGCTACACGTCCGACATAGCATTACAGATCTCTATAAATTCGTAGGGTAAACCGAGACGCCTCCGCGCGGTTCTAGGTCTCTGTAATGAGAGACGACGAAAGGCGGCGCGCAGTAAAAGGCGTCGTACCTATCGCATTCAACTCGTCGATAACTCGGTAAAGCCGGTAGTTGCTTTGCGCAACGTCGTACCGCTGTATGACGTCACGCACACACCACCTCACTACCTCACACATACGTATACGTCGAGGCAACTGGATTTGACGCATTTGTCTCGCGCGCGCGCGCATTCACATGTAATTGGTGTTTGTGCGCCACATCAGAGGACGCGAAGGAGGGAGATAATGCGAGAGGACGGACGCTGTGCGGCGCGGCGCGCAGAGAGATAAACTAGATTCCTATTTTTCGATGAGCGGCCCCCCCGGCCGCTGATTACTATTGCCCCGTCGCGAGTCGTACGTGCTCGCGACTCGCGATGACGACGGTAACGAATACGTCGCGGCTCGCCGAGACGTTACGCGTGGCTTCCCTCAACCTCCCGACCCACCTCGATGTTGACACAGGAGAGAATCCGTAGCGGCATCGGCACGGTCTCATCCTCGTAGATCGGCACCATTTCCTCCTCCTTGGCAAGGCAGAGCCGGCACAGCTCGTTCACATGGATGATTACGTTGCTCGGGCTGTCGCCCTTTTTCCTGCTGTACGTTTTCATCGCGCGTCTTTTCCCGGCCGTGGGCAGTCGTTCGTCCGTACACGACCTGTCTATATCACGGCTTCTTGCCCACTTTCGTCTCTCTCCCCCCTTTTCTTTCCCCTCGGTATTGTATCTCTATCCCTGTTTTCGAATATGCGACAAGTGCACTATCGGCGCGTGATGGTTTCGGGGAGCGCAAATCGGAGTTTTCCGTGGGAAGATTCGCAATCGCCAACGGACTCGGTCACTCACAACGGAATCTATAATGGCGGTTGTCCTCAATGGCGAGCGCGTGCGACGTTGGACTGGCAGCACTGCACATTTCGTCGAAGGAAACGATATCCACGCGCGCGCGCACGAAAGAGCGAAGGAGATGCGCGATGGGCGCCGACGCGAGTGGGAGCGAGAGGGAGCGACCTCCGAGAGATTTCTGGAGCGCGCGTCAAAATGGTGCGGCGGTGGCGCGCGCGGTGTGGAGGGGAGAAGCAGGGAAGCAACGCCGAGACTCGGACGCCGTAGCCCCGCGCGCGAGAGTCGGTAAGGGCGATAGCGAGATTATTGATTTTCCATTCTTCCCAACGGCGGGAAATGCGAGCCCTGCCCAGCTTCCCTCAGGAGAAAAATGGAACTGCCCGGCAAACGCGCGGTGGCGGCGACGGTTCTTCCCGCTATCGCGAGTCTCTTCGCTTCCTCTCTCTTCCTCTTTCTCTATCTCCATCTCCATCTCCATCTCCATCTCCATCTCTATCTCTTCGACTCGGGTTAAAACCGCCGTGGACAATGAAGGCGGCATTCCAGGGTCGTCCGGACGGACGTATATCGACGGATAGGTTGAATTTATTTAATCCGCGAGCGGATCGAACTTCTTCATTATCGAACTGAGGGCGACTTTGAACATAAACTCCAATTGATTTAATCAATAAAAAATCTAACAAATATCTGCGCTATTTTGTTAGCGTAAGTTGCGTTAATTTTTTTTATATACATCTAGGAAAAAAGATTGAATTGGGAATTAATTAGATTGTTTTGTTTTAAACAACTCTATCGGATAAATTAATCAAGTCAATCAAGTTAAGCATGATTTCATTGAAATGAATCTAATAAAGGCAAGTTTGTGTAAATTCCGCAAAAACGCAATTTAATTGGCCTTAATTTTGTTTTATTTTCATATATATTAAACGACATAATATATCTTTAGAATATTGGTAAACTTGATAGAGCACAAACATTACTTATAAATCAGAGAGTTGCAAGAATTGATTCTTATTGTCTTCGGATAATATTCATTTCTCGAGTTCAAAAGAAAAAGTAGGTAATAAAATAATATTTAAGTAATTTCAAAAGAAATTTAATTTAACTTTAATTCACATTTTAATTCAAGACATAAAGAAAAAATATATCCGGAGAACGTAATAACTGCAAAATAGATGCTAAAAAATGTTAAAAGTAACGATTTGTTATCATTGTCCAAAAAATATAACTGCGTTATCATTATTCTGTTACTAAAAAAAAGATTTAACATTATTACCGATTCATTACTGAAAAAGATAACGATGATAATAATAACATCACAAATAATTTGTTTCTTTATAAAAACGCGTTGCTTTTCACTCTTACGCATCGATAATCAAACATGACAGATTCTACTATCGATTCTTCGTAAAAACTAAAGTCAATATCAATAAAATAACTTAGAAATGCTCCTTTGTGAGATATATGATCCCATATAATTTTCATTCTGCAATTAATGTATGATTTTTCCAATATTAGGACATTTCTAAAAAATTGTGTTTAGGGATGAGATTACAAATCCGCGCATGATTGGTTGTAAACGCAGATCTCTTTTTCGAGACGGTAATGCAGAGATCGAGATGGCACGAATAAGTTGCTAACAATCGAACAGCGTGATTTCATTAGTGGCTTTCGTATAATATCGACATAATAATGAATCGTATAATAACGAATTGAGTTGTCCAAATCGAGGGGTACAATTATCTCAATTATCTACGAAATAGATGAAAAAAAGAACATCGACGAAGAAGAAACGAGAGAATATATGTAATGAAAATGTTTTTGTTGATATAGATAAGATTATTAAATTTATTATAAAGAAAGTGAAGAGCATTAAATTATATAGCTACAAATTTTTCTATTGATTGAATTAGTCTCTGATTAAATTAATTAAATCGAAGTCACACTCCGAATCGCTTCCGTTCTCAAATGGAAATTGTCGGCACTCGTTGCGAACACCTGTTTTCCAAAGATAAAGTTTAAAATATTATTGGATATTTTAATATGGCACACAAGACAACAAATCAACGTTCATTTTGTATTTTCTTTGAGAATACATCATTTTATCTGTTTCCTTTTCTCTCTGTTCTTCTTTTTTATTTTAATAAATATTTGTTTTTATAAATAATTGTGAAATAAATGTAATTTTTTCAAAATATATTAAATCTTTTAGCATGAAAATAGAATATCAATATTCAGTAAGGTAGAATTTTTAGTGCTTAATAATCTCTTTTTTATTTTTGAATTTATATATAAATTTAAAATAATTGCTTATGTCGTCAACCAAACGCTGTTATCTTTAACGAATTTGAAATTTAGCGGCTTAAAGCCAAAGCTAAAATTTTCCCCTTCAATAAATCAATAATCAAATTAATGATATCGATTAACTCCCTTCACCTCACAAGAAATTATTATTGCGAGAAATATCATCTCAGTCGGGATTTGAATCTTGATTATTTGAGATAGGTGTCTCTTTACCAATTCGATAAAGATCTTGAATTTATATATAAATGAAAAAAACAATAATTATTAAGTGTCAACAATCTTGTCTCAACATATTGTCGATATATTCTATTTTCATACATATTAAATGTATTCTCGGTTTACAATATATTGATTATTTATTAAATCTTTTAATATATCTCTTAGAAAGAGAATATATTAATCTTCGCAATGATTTCTTTTCGAAATATCTTCATCTCTACTGTATCAAGCCTACTTCGAAAAATCTCCCCACTATTATCAACAATGCTTTGCATTCCAAATCACGGATAAAATTATATTTCGCGATTAATATTATGTGTCTGCTGATAAACATAGATTATCTACTGATAATACCGTGTATTACAGCAACGATCCTGCGCATCTTTCGACGACAGCATCGACGAACGCCGGGCGCAAACGTGAGAATTGTGATCACATCTCTTCTCGGAACAAACCAAGAACAAATTGTGGAAACAAGAGGAGGCACAACGCGTCGAACCACTTCGGACTGATTTATTTTTGTTTTTCGTTAACGAGAGATACGTTACACAAAGCGAACGATTTACCGGCTGCGAACGTCGGCATGCCTTCAATTCTCTGCGGCGTAGAATTCTCGACGATGTTGCGTCGGATATTCGACGGATGTAACTTCTTCGAGTTATCAAAGGTAGATAGACGGACAATTTCCCCTTTGTCCCGTTAAATATCCCGTGCGGGATAAGAAACACTTATCCCAGGATAATTATTCGACATTTGATCTTTCGACGAACGAATGTGTGAAGATCGTTAAAGATGTATGTAAATGCGCGTATAAAAAGTTGATACACTTACGCACAATGTTAATTATTAATTATTAATAATTATATGTTATAATATACACATTAATATTAATATTAATATTTTTAAAAAGGTTGTTAATGGATGATTTTGAGTTATGGAAGTTGTCCTCAAGTTTTCAAATTTTATTCGCTCGTAAAATACAAAAGTTTACGCAGATCTGTCATTTTTATTACTCGCGGAAATGTTGAAGCTCAATTATTCATGAATGATTTATGCTCTGATGTTCTCCAAGTGCTTCAAATTTTTTTATATTTATTTTGAAGCACGATACTAGCACATAAAAAAGAAATGTATCATGTTGAGAATATGGAATGCAGAAAATTTCAAATATTCAAATAATTTTGTAATTTTCGAAATGTTCACCAAGAATCGATGAAATTAATTAAATAATTAGGTCGAGGCAAATAATACACGGTCACCTTACAAAATTTGTTTCGCGACAATTCCGATAAAATTCTCGACGTCGGTCGGTTGAGCGTTTTGCGTAAAAAAAAATAAAGAGAAGAAGAATTTCTCAAGCTCGTTTTTCGCGATGTCTTTGTTAAAAATAAACCGCGTTCGATTGCCCGATTGGCAGTGCGCTTTCGCCGAATCAGCCTCAAGTAGATTGCGACGAGATTTTCGCAATCCACATGCGGGAAACGACGGATGCAGGAAAACGTGCGGATGAAGTTTTCCCCGCGATTGCCAGGAAATCCGTCGAATATCACGAGCATCGAAGAGGGAGAGAAAGAGAGCATCTCGGGGATCGAAAATAACCGCGGCGGAGGAAGGTGCCGACGGGACAGAACAATTTCGGCGGTTCCGGGTGAGGGAGGGGGCCGAAGACGGTTGCCTTCTGCCGCTCTCCGGTGCTTTCGCTTTTCCGAGGGTCCAGTGTGTTTCGCCACCCGAGGAGAACCCGCGTGCTCCACGTATATCAGCGCGAAGGTAGGTGCCGCGTTCTCGTCGCCGTCGTCGATCGCGTTCCGCGAGAAACGAGAGAACGGTACAGGAGGAGACAAGTGGGAAGGAGACCGAAGATACAGGTGGTGCGGAGGGAGCGCTGATAAGGGAACGTCGGGGATGACGAGAGAGAGAGAGAGAGAGAGACGTAGGGAGAAAGAGGAAGGCGAGCGAGAGTCGCACGACGTAGAAATTTGAAAACGCGTGGAAAATCGCGAGAGTTGGAAAGCGGAGATAGAAGATTTCAGGAGAGTAAAAACGGCAAATCAAATATATATATATATATTTTTTTTTTAGTAAAATAAATTATTGCGGCAATTATTGCACAATTGTTTTGTAAGAGAAAATTCAAAAATAAGTGAAATTATCAAAAATCCTTCTTCTATAAATCTCTCTCACTAAAGAGAGAGATCGATCGATCATACTGCCTCTCTATAATTAGCGACTTAACTGGCAAGGTAGTTGTCGTATTCAATTACTATATCTTGGCATTTAATCGCCTAATTGTCAGGAGAAACTAGTCAAACCGGTAGGTAATCAATTACAATCAAGGGGACAGGAATTATTGACTCTATTAATAATAATCTAAGAAAATCAGTTTAATTAATTATGAATTCCTCTTATTTATTATACAATTATATAGACACTTTCGGAATTTTCTTTTTTCTTCAAGTTTTTTTTCAGTGATTTAAATAAGTGGTTTCATATTGCGGATAGGAACTATGAAACATCTAGAAAATAAATCTTCACGTTTGTATTTTA